CGGGGCTCCACTCTCTCTCGGGGTCAGGCCCCTCCACCTCCTGGAGCTGCACCTCTCTGAGCCTTAGCACGTCTGTCTCTGCCGTGGGCCCCCTCAGGGAGTCCCCTCGCTCTGGACCCCCGGGGCCTCCACCCCCGAAGGGGTTGATGCCCCCTGTTCTCTAGCCCGGAGCGACTCTCAGCCAGCATAAAACAGAAGGGTTTATTGAGAGTTGAACACAGCACAGGAAACTCTCAGGGCCTCGGCCTGGCCTCCCTCAGCCCAGCACATCCCAGTCTCTCTGCATCCAGGTGGGCTCTGCCTGCTCCCCCTCTCCAGCCCCAAGCCCCCCCGCCCTGCTTCCCAGCTGGGCATCTGAGCTCCCCGGCCCCAGGTCCCGCCTCTGTCCATTGTCTTCTCTCCAGGGAAACAGGGTCGTAAACTGGGTCGCCTGGGCCTCCTCTCCCCTCTTCTGTCCTCTGGCCCCTCTGGCTGGAACCGGCTGGTCAGGTCACCGGGGTCCTCTCCCCGCAGCCCTTTGTCCTCCCACTGGCCAGAACCGGCTGCGACTCCTGAGCTGGGTCCTTGGGTTGTCAGGTCACCAGTCGCTGGGGTGTCCCTCCTCCCGGCCATCGGCTGGTTCCCTCTTTGGCCCTCTGTAACAACAAACTCTCTCTCCGCTCCCCTCGTTAAACCAGTAACACCCAGGGAAACTGAGTCCCACCCCCTCTGCATGCAAACCATTGGAAAACAAGGAAAACACAAGAAAATCCCCCACTTCGTCACAGGGGGCGCTGGGTCTGTCAGTTCCCCGGGCTGCTGGGGGATGAGTATGGGGGCCTGGGGGCTCCTCACCCACTGCAAGCCCCCCTCTGGGACTCAGGGCCCAGTGCTACCAGGGGCGCCCATCTGGGCACTGGGAGTTGGGTCCGGCCCTGGCTCCGGGCGGGTGGCAGCGCCGTGCACAGAGAGCGATGCTCTGGAGCTGCTCCCTACGAAGCCAGGCAGGACTCTGGGGGAGCCTCCTCTCTCGGAGCAGACTGTCTCCAGGCAAGAAGCTTCCCCAGCTTCCACCTTCCTGGGTCTGACCTCGGAGCATTCAGCATCCCCGTCTCACACCGTGCATTTCCCGCAGCGAGTCCGCACAGGCAGGGCTCCTGGGGAAGCCAGAGGGCCCTGCACCCCAGCTCCACAGCCAGACATGACTCTCAGTCAGCCGGGAAAACAGGTTTATTAGTTGACAGGACACAGCATAGGACAGAGCTTGTTAGCACAGAAATCAGTGACTCAGCCAAGTCCATCTTGGGGAGAGGGGAGCCCAGAGCCAGGGCTCTGCCCCCCCCGCGCCCCCAGCCAGCCGAGACTGACTCCTTCCGGCTGCCTGGCCCCTGCCGGCCCGTTGCTCCTCTTCCAGCCTTTGTCCTGCTTCCTGGGCCAAGAGTCACCTGGTCGCATCCCCCTCCTGGGTCTCAGGTTACGAAGGGAAGGGGCGGCCATAGCAACTGTGCAGGCAGCTGGAGCAGCCCCAGCAAAAGTCACACCCCCTTATTCCCAGCTCCTAGACATTGGAGCAGTACACAGGGAAACTGAGGCACACCCAGCATTCATGTAGAACAGTAAGACTCACATAGGCTCACATACAACATAACAAGGGAAAACCCCCACTACGTCACACTCTCGCACCGGTCACGCCAGTAGCCTGAGCCCCACCTGCCTACAGCACTTTCTGAGAGCTGTCAGTGGCCACGCGCTCTGACGCAGAGATCACAGCGCAGCCCGACAGCAGAGCCACACCAGCTCATTCCTGGCATCTCGGCCCAGCTACAGAGCCAAGCAGCCGTTCCCAGGCGAGATGACAGGACTGACGGGGATTTCAAGGGGTGCTGGAGAGGCCTGCGGGTGGCTTGAGGGAGGTGTATTTGGGACAGGGAGGGAGGGGCTATTCTGGAGTCCAGGCCGGGGGCATGGGGCCCATGGCAGGAACAGGAGAATTTGTGGAGCCCCTTGTGAACACAAGGCCTATTAGCCAGGAGAGGCGGCGCCATTGGTGGTGCGGGAGGCAGCAGGGGGTTGGGCCCATGTTACTGGCTGGTCCTTCTGCAGCAAAGCCGCACAGGCCAGGCTCCCAGGGCCTCTGGTCAAACAGCAGCGGCTGTAAACAGCTCCCGCCCCCAGGCGCCA